TCAACCTCGGCGACCTCAACGTCACCAAAGTCCTCCCGTTCCAACTCGCGCCGCTGGCTAAGCATCGTCTTCGTAGGCGCAACAGCAGCAGGTGCAGGCGCCTATATCCGATCTCAAAACACATCATCCGCAACCTTGAATCCCGAAACATTTACCAAATACAGCCTTGTATCACGCGAGCCTGTGTCAGCAACCAGCAGCCTCTTCACGCTACGACCACGCAAACCCAGCGACAGCAACTACGATGTCTACGAGGAAGCATGGCAGACAGGAGTCTGGAGTGTGATGTTCAAGCAACCACAATTACAAATCGGACGGGATTACACGCCGCTGCCCACGACGGCGGCGACGTCGCTAAGCGTCGACGACGAGAATGAGGGCTGTCTGCGATTCTTTATTCGGAAGGATCCATTTGGAGAGGTCTCACGGTACCTACATAACATCGACGTAGGCGCTGACATCGAGCTGCGTGGACCCAAGATCGAATGCGCGATACCGAAGGAAACGGAGGAGATTCTCTTTATTGCTGGTGGGACGGGGATTGCGCCGGCTCTGCAGGCTGGGTATTCTCTTTTGAATCGCGCACATACTGAAGGTCGGCCGAGGATCCATATCTTGTGGGCGAATCGGTTGAAGGATGACTGTGCTGGTGGCCATAGTGACTCGCTGAAGTCGCAGCCACGCCGGGGCTGGTTCTCTGGTTGGTTTGGCTCGTCCAAGAATCAGGAGAATATCCCGGGAAATGCTGTGGATGTTGTACGAACAGAAGACACTTCTATTATTGTGCGAGAGCTAGAGGCGCTGAAGTCCCAGTATCCCGGGCAGGTCACTGTGGATTACTATTTGGACGAGGAAAACACGTTCATTAAAAAGGAAGATATCCGAAGTGCTATTGCACCAGCGCCAACAAGCGACTCTCGCAAGAACAAGTTGATTTTGGTTTCCGGTCCTGAGGGGTTCATCAGCTACATGGCTGGGCCCAAGCTGTGGGCGCAAGGTCAAGGACTCCAGGGCCCCCTCAAAGGAGTCATCAAAGAACTTGATCTCAAAGAATGGAGTGTGTGGAAGCTCTGAGCGCTTTCTCTTGGGCTTTTGGGCCGCTCTTGTACCAATATCGGAACCCTTTTGTCATTAAAGCATATATCTAGCATGGATATACTGAGAGTTATGTTGAATAAACAGTCGTAACTGTCCTGGACACGTTCCAGCGTCCTATTTCGTTACCCATCACACATTCCTGGCCGAAAGCCCCAGGTTGAATTCGCTCAAACACCGATATCATATCCAAACGCAATCTACTGCGCTGTAGCGAAGTCCTCGAGGTACTTCACCAGCTTCTGCACGTTCTCAAATGGAACCGCATTGTAGTTGCTGGCGCGCATACCGCCTACGCTGCGGTGGCCCTTGAGGCCCTGGAGAAGACGCTTCTCAGCGCCAGCAATGAACTCCTTCTCCTTTGCATCATCGCCGCCGCTGACACGGAAGCAGATGTTCATGCGGCTGCGGACGCTGACGTCAGGCACAACCTGGTACACTTGCGGGAACTTGTCCAAAGCACCGTAGATAAGCTGCGCCTTCTTGTTGGCGACTTCCTCTTGCCCGCTGACCTTTTGAGCGCTGAACTCGGCCATCAGGTCGGCCATGACCTGGCCGGCAATCCAGAGGTTAAAGATGGGGAGGGTATTGTAGAGGGAGTTGTTCTTAGCGATAGTTGCGTAGTCGAGAACGATTGGGCCGGGGAGACCGCCAATGTCCAACCGGTGGAGGAGAGCAGGGGGAGGAGTCGCGGTGTGGGGAGGGAGGAGATCCTTTCGAACGATGGCAATGGTGATACCAGTTACACCAATGTTTTTCTGTGCGCCGCCCTATATATATTGTTAGTGTATCCCATAGTGCAGAGAGATTGAAGAGACGTACGAAGATGACAGCGTATTTGCTCACATCAACTTTCCGGCTGATGAAGTTGGAGCTCATATCGGCGACAACGAGACGCTCATCTTCGGCATCCTGACCCTGAGCCTCCAATGACTTAGGGAACTGCTGGAACTCGACACCATCGACGGTCTCGTTGTCGCAAAAGTAGACAAACGCAGAGCCCTTGCCGCCCTCCTTCTTGGTAGGAGTCAATGACCAGGAATCCTCTGCGGGGATTTTTCCAAATTTCCCACCGTTGGCCTTGCGAGCATCAAGAGCAACATTCACGTATTTCGAGCCAATCAGTCGGCTGGCTTCCTGGGAAGCCTTGAGCGACCAAGATCCAGTCACGAGGTAATCCAGCTTCAGCTCCTCGTCAATCTCCTTCTGAAGTCTCTGGAAGACCAATTCGTCAACCTCAGCCTGTTCCGCACCGGGCTGTGCCTTCCTCACGTCGGCCTCGGCCTTACGGCGGCGGCGCTCAATCCAGACGGGAACTAGGTTTTGCACGACAGCGCTGAACTCGCCACTGCCTCCGGCCTGCATGAACAGGATCTCATAGTTATCAGGGATATCGAGGAGAGCGGAGAGGTTGGCTTTGGCGTCGTTGAGGATCTTGTTGGCGGTGGGCGAGCGGTGCGAAATCTCGCCGAGTCCGAGTCCGGCGTCGTTGAAGTTGACGAATGCGTTTGCGCCGGCCTCGACGACTGAAGTCGGGAGGGGAGCTGGGCCAGCTCCAAAGTAGGAGACTTCTTGTCGCGAAGGCATGATGATATTAATTGAGGTGGAATGAGATAGAGGAGAAAGAGAGAAGCGGGAGAGGAAAACTCCAAGTGTGGACCGCAGTGGATCAACCTTGGAGGAAAAGTAAGAAGAGATATAGCTATTTATATGTTCAAATGGCAGGATTAACTGTAATTTCCTATATACAGCCTAATATATTCACCGGATATACGTCTACATATCCAATTGACTGTTTTATAGGTCAATCCTAGTGATGGCGGGGTATGAGTCAATTCGGTATGGACAATTGAGTCACTATCTCGGAGGTTCAATATGCAAAAGTTTTCTTTTAATGGATTATACAGACTCAATAAGTAGTTGAAGCATATCACAGACTGACTTACATATGTAGGTATATCGCATTCCGATTGTCTAGGATCTAATCTCTTCATGATCAACGTTGGATGGCGGGGTTGATCGACAGATACAAGGTTGTATAGTATGGAATGGTTGTTCCTCCAAGATGTATAAGGTAGATATGAAGTAAACACCTGCTCTTCATCGACTCAATTGCTCTTTTGAAGTCTATTATTCTTCCTCCGTGGTAGTGTGAGAGTGTAGTGAGATATAAAAGACGAAGACAATGGTCGACCCGTGGACATTCGAGTCCAGTCACGTGGCGCATTACGTGACTGGTTTGCAGTGTTTGTCTGAAGTATATAAATGGGGACTGTCATCCAAGGCGACCTACGTACTAAGTACATATAGATCAAAAGGTCTACTCTTGTGTGGATGTGACTGGCCGCTTTGTGTATATCACGGCCCTGTTATCGGACAGTTCCAATCCATTGCTCTCGCAAGTTGGTAGAAGAATACTGTCAACAAGTAGGGTTTTGTCTATATCTACTCACTCTCTCAGAATAGTCAAGTAAATCGTAAGACCGACCTATTTTTGGTTTAATATAATCAGACTCGGCGCGAGGGTATGTCGCATCTCTAGGGTTCAACACGCTCCTGGCTAGAAGTCACCCTGGACCTATGGCCTGTACTCCCAGGAATGAATAGCATTGTGTCTGGGAAGTTATCCTATCTATCCTTTCGGCTTCTGGGAGAATAGTTTCGAGGTTAGATGACCTTGGAACATTCGAAGCTTGGGTGATAATATATGGAAGGAGGTAGAGACATATAGGATTTGACCTCATGAAAGCAAAGGGGCCGTTTCGTACAGCTTGTACCTTGGTGTAGAACCATAAAAAATGCTGGTAGGAGGAGTATTTGAGAATACCCAGAAGAGAAGAAAAAAGAGATAGGTAGAGAAGGGAAGTGAAATCAAATGGCGAATAGAAGATGCCGTAAGAGACGTAGTAAAGACCCATGGACTTCTGCTATAAAACGAAGCGAAGTCAACCTCTTACCCTTGCACTTTTCACTCCTTCACCTTCCATCGCATCCGGCATCGTCCTTCATCGATCGTCCACTAATTCACTTCCAGTCATCCATAATCAACTTCATTCACACACCCTCAACTCGTCTACTATGTTTCATCCTGCTGCACAACAGGACCCGAACAACCCTCTGGGCCTGCCAATTTACGAATGCTGGTTCTGCCCGACAAACTGGATCGGGTTTTCAGCCCTCCTCTACCACCTGGAAGATGGGTGTTGTGTCAAGCAAGATCGCATCCGCACTCTCGCATTCGAGACTCCCGAGTATGGCTTCTATGGCAACAAACTTACAGACGACAACCCTTTTTTCTGCTTCCGCTGCCATGCTCAGTTCCCCCAGGTGTCTCACCTCTACCGCCATGTTGAACACACCCCTTCTTGCTCATACTTGCTCAACCCTTCTGAGTGCCTAGGTGCTCTCCGCGACTTCTACGTTGAGTACTACGAGTGCCCTGGCTCGGACTACGTTCACGTCTGAGTTTCCTTGAACACTGATGACAACAAGCCCTTGAATTGTGGTAGGCTGCTGGGTATTCTGTGAGGGATTTGAGCATCGGTTTACTTTGTTGAGAGGGAGAGGATATCGGAAGTGGTTTCTGTTTTTCATTTGTTCTTTGGGGGAAGAAGTTGGCTACAGTGAGGTGAGGCGTTGTGGCTCGTTTCTGGTTCAGAAAGGCAATGGCCGTGCAATATGGGTAGAATAATTTACGTCGCCAAATAACATTCTAATTGTTCTATTACTTCCTCTATCAGTATTGCTGTTGATATAACATATGAGGTGAGACTGTATAAATAGACAACCCAAAGGAATCAACAAAGAAGGGTTAAACAAAGCCCTTAACAGGAAGTATCGCTGAACAAAGCTAAACAGACCCTACAGGAATAAGCCATTTAAACAGACAGGGGTGGTGAAGCTATTCATAGCACAGCCCTGCACAACCAGACATCGGTGGTTATCCTATACTCTACACCTATCTACCAGGCTATTGGCTTATTATAGACTATATAGGGTTTTTTTATTACCTCTGAGCAAAAATAGGGGTCCGGATGGTCCAATTACATTCTTGCCCAAGGCTGCAAGGTACTTGTCAGCCCCGACGACAGGGTAAAGGGATGACGGACTTCTGCAGGAGCATAACGTGGGTTTCTTATTTTATGTTCGGGGAATTTCTCTTTTACTCTTTTACTCTTTTTCCCTTTGTTTTCTGTTTTTGATTGGATTTACAATTCTTCTAGAAGGAACCTCATTTCATGCAGCTATCCCGCTATTCTTAGATCTGACATGAGTTTAGAATTGAAACATTGAAAGAATATTTTAGTCTGATAGTAAATAAAGATAACAGCCAGTAAGAAAGAACAATAAAATAACAAATATAGAAATTGAAGGCTATACTTAGAAGTCCATTTCACAAATTAAGCCTTTCTTGGCACTTTCGCGCTGTTTACACAACCAGGAAATAGATGTATCTGCATGTCCAGGCATCTGTAAAAGACCACTGAAAAGACATGTGAAAAGACTATCAGAGAAGACTACCTGAGAAGACCACCAGACTACGCGGCCGACTATTCTTGTGCGAGTAATCACAATCGACCAAGAAGTATGTTTCAACCTCAAACTCGGCCTTCTACAGACAGCTGAAGCTTGCTCAGCATTGGAATTCTCCATGATACCGTAGCATTCATGTCAAGAATAAGTTTTCCAAGCCTCAATCTAATAATTTATGTCTTTATATACATCTCGCCTAAGACACGCAGAAAGGCAGGTACTTTGCGGAGATCCGGATCCTGACTCAGATAGATCATCCATGTTTGACAGACTTCTCTGCGTCTTTGACAAGGACAATGGGAGTTTCGTGCCTAATTTTCGGAAATGAAGCCGGGGGGTTTGTTCCTGGGTGCCTGGGATGATGATGAATGGGCCCCGGCAACCAAGGCAGACAATTTTGGGAATTCTCTTTTCTTTCTTATAAATATGGGTTGCTGATCGGTAGAGTTGTTCTTGTTTATCATTGTATACATTATTAGTCTATCGAGTTGCTATTCATATATTGTATCGGCTTGTTGCAACTTCATCGACACATCACCTCCCGCTACCACTTTGCAACCATTCCCACAGTTACCTCTGCCTAAATAATTCATCATGGTGTCTCCTGCAATGGGTCGAGGAGGTTACAATGCCCCCGCCAGCCACCCATGCCCCAAGCTTCTGTCTGGCCGACCTTAGGCTGTTCAGAATGTCCAGAATGTGCACGATGGACAATGCACTCTCATCGTTTCAATTGTCTTAGTTGCAACCAGCAACCAGTTGATACCGCGGCTCTCGCCGAACAAGTCATCATGGGACAGCGTTGCAAGCCAACCTCGTCGTCCGAGCCATATTTCAATCGGACTCTTCACTTGCCGACACAGAATCTACGACAGTCAGCGCACCATCCGGACCAGCAAACCAAAACCAAGATCTCCCAGTGCTTACTTCTCGAAGACAACTCCCAAAACATCCTCGACATCACCACTCTCGCCCTTTCCTGTGATCTTGGCCAGCATATCAGCCGCAAAGCGCAGATGTTCCGCAGCAGTGACGATATCGACTTCAGATTCAGCATGGGAATCAACAGACCCGAGTTCACTTTCGCGAGAGGAATCATCAGAGCATTCAGCAGAAGAGGCTTGAGATAGGAAGTCGTCCAGATGGTCGAGACATCTTTGTAGATTAGAGCTTTGGCGATGTGTGACACCCAGAGAATCTTCCCAATACGAAAGATCATATTGATCACCTCCATCTCCGTCGACGCCAAGCGGGGAGGCAATCTGCCCAAAAGTCGTAATTAGTCCACGTAGAAAGACTTGTAGATTACCCGGGTCTGTAGTGGTATTGAGAGACGACGCTCCCCGCTTGGCTTCCTCGCAGGAAATGGCAAACACACGATCCGCCGGGACCGAAGGGAAAATGTCGTGGATTATATCAGACAATGACTGCGGCACACCACTTTCTAGAGGAGTGTGTAGCTTGTCACACTTGTTGATGGCGACAACGAGACATTTGCCCGCCTCGACGCAGTCATTAACTGCACCAAGCACTTCCGGCTCAACAAATAGCCGGACACCAGCAGCAGTGTCTTCCAGCGAAACAACCACAATAACAACATCGGACTGCAAAGCCCTCTCTCTAGCCCGGCGAATGCCCTCTTTCTCAACAGCCCCAATAACAACCCTATCACCATCACCAGAACCGCCCTCAGCCCGAATCCCCGCCATATCCCCAAGCTTACAATACCATCCGCCAAGATCAACCCCAACATCAACAATATCCCTCGTAGTTCCCTGCTCGGTACTAACAATAGCAGCCTCCTTCCCAACAACCCTATTAAGCAAGGAACTCTTCCCAGCGTTCGGCGCACCCAGCAGCGCAACCCGAATCCCATTCCTAAGCAACTCCCCCCGCGACGCATTAGCAATATGGAAACTGATCTGCACGCTCAGCGCGCGCACCTGGGTCGCAACGGACAAAACAAGCTCCTCAGTCGACTCATCAAAATGCTGGTCCTCGGAGAAATCAATCAGTGCCTCCAGCTCACCGCGCGCATACAGCAAGCCCTGCCGCCACCGCTCGTACCGGTTCAGTAATGCGTCACTCGAGCCGCGCACGGCTAGTCGTCGCTGCTGCTCGGTGTCGGCGGAGAGTGTGTCGCCGAGTGCTTCGATCTGAGGCAGGCTGAGACGGTCGTTCATGAAGGCACGGCGGGTGAATTCGCCTGGTTCGGCGTAGCGCACTGTTTGCTCTGGGGTGTTTGTCTGTGCGATTGCTGAGAGGACGGCTTTTGTTATTGCGGGTCCGCCGTGGATGTGGAGTTCGAGGATGTCTTCGCCTGTTGCGGTTCGTGGAGAAGGGAAGTAGAGGACTAGGGCGCCGGCGTCGAGGATTGTATTTGCGGTTGGGGGTTGGGTTGGGTCGTAGAGAGTGCGGAGGACTGCATAGCGCGGTTTTGGAAGGGGGTGGTTTGGGCAGAGGCTTTTGTATATCTGGATATCGTTGTTAGTCTGGTGGTTTGGTGGTTTTGGTTTGTCTTTCGGGGAATACGTACCGAGGCACAGGCCGGACCTGACACGCGCACAACTGCAATGGCTGCTCGCCCGGTTGCAGTGGAGAGCGCATATATTGTAGAGTATCCATCTAGCATGAATCTGGCCGGGCGAGTCGACGAGAAAGCTCGAGCTTGTCCGGGAGCCCGCCGGGAGCCCTGCGATTCAGAGAGAAAGCCATGACGTCGGATATAGGATTTTCTTGATATCGTTTGCCATGGTTGACTTGTTGATGAGCTGAAGGGAGAAGCCCAACGCAGTACTCGGCGAGATGCTCGCATGCGCAAGATTAAACCAATGAAGTATTGGTAAAGGTCAAAGAGGTCAAACGTTTAAACGGCTGTTCCATCCATGGGTGTTATGTTGCGATAACACACACGTGATTGATAAGAAATATGCAAACGACCTCGGCAGTCCACGGGTACGAACTACAAGTGTGACAGCATTGGAAGAGATCGAGAACATACATTTCGTCTAACTGCGGGTATTTAAATCATGATCCTGAAAAGCACAAGCAAGAGCAGTCCATCTAATGCGGCTCTAGTCAAGGATACACAGCAGATATAAAACTTGATCACGCGTGCGTTCCGAAGTAGGAAGCAAAGAACAAGGCGCAATGCAGGAAACATTGAACATCAAGCTCAATATGCAATTCGATGATACGCCCTCCAATCATGGCGACATTTCCATGGCAGGTAGCGTCTGATGAAGACAGGTGGGAAAGAGATTATGTATGTACAAGGACAGAGACAGGGTGTCGATGGCAGGTGGGTATGCGATAGTGGAAAAAGAAAAGAGACAAGGATTGCACATGAAGATGAACGGATAGTGTTAGGAGGAAATGGAAAAGAAAGAAAGGTATCATCACACCATGCTCGGCTCGTCAAATCAAGGAGGGCGGCTCAAAGAGTAGTGTAGGTAGGGAATGGGTATTATACAATCGAAGGCGGTTGTAGTAGTGGTGGTAGTGGTGTCGATGGCGAAGGAGACCATTTTGCTTGGGATCCAATGCGTCATCAATGGGAATCGATAACATATTAAATTAAATCGGCTGTCGGTGATTGACTCAATCCGATAATTCTTGGTTTCTGAGGGGAACCGTCAATCGAGGGATCCTGTGATAATGAATCGCCTTGCTCCGACACGACAATTGAAGGCGGGGGCTGAGACTCGTTGGGCGGACTGGGGAGTTGTTGGTCGTCTGTGATCATCGAGTCTGTCTGCGAAGGAGAAGCAGGCTCTTGAACTGTAGCAAGACCACTTGAGCCATCCGCGCTATCTTTGCTCCCGCCTGTGGCGGGATTGCGGCGTCTCATGCGGCGATTGCGACGCTCTTCATCTGCGCTCTCTCTTCTCCGTCTCTGGCGCTCGCCACCACCTGCATCGGAGTTACTTCTC